ACAGTTGGCTTGGGTGTGTTGCCCACGCTGGCACAGCTGTTGTGTTTCTGAAACAGGACGTGAACTCAGATCTTTCTAACTCCAAGATGTCTTGATTCTATCCACTATACTGTACTTCTCAAGACTATTAATTCTATTAACTTTATATGACCTTTTCACAATGCATTATGGTCTCAGCATGACCTGGTGAAAAAAAACAAGAAGTCTTCTCCACACTGGAGTTAGAATTCTAATTGTGTGCCACAAGCAAATGTCAAAGTCTTTTCTAACCTACACTATAGAGAATTATCAACATAATTAACTTATATACCTGATATCAAATTGAACCCATGGACAGCAAGGTGTTCTCTCATCTAGTGTGGGAAGAGTAAATATGGCTTTCCTTCAGAGTTACAACAGGTATTAACTATCTATAATGAAATCCACGAAGAGCAAACATTACTTACCAAAACAACAAATCTATCAGTTAAGTCATTCCTCAATTCCTCTGGCCTCATTGAAGGAATATTTACTCACCGGAAATTGTGTGAATAGAAAATCTTTTTTTGTTGTTGTTTGCTATATGAGCCTAATACTCACTGCCTTGGGAACCTGTCCATGTGGAAATAAAAGGTTTCCAGAGCTGGTTTATGGTTACAATGAAAAAAGTCTTCCTTCATCTGTGGCTTTATGCAGGGTCAGGGACACTGAAGTGTTCAAGGCACTTACAAGTATAAAAAAACTCCATATTATTTTTCAGGAAGAAGCTTTAGGACATTTATCCAGGAAACTTTAGCTATAATAATGCATCTCCTTTCCCCCAGGCCACTTTTGATTTTCAATAGCTAACAGCACAGATGCTCATTTTGACAGAGAAATATTATAATAATAATAATAGCTAACACTTATATAGCAGACTATGTGCTAGGCGCTATGCTAAGTGCTTTACAATTATAACCTCATTTGATCTTCAAACAACACTGGTAGATGCCATTATTAACCTCATTTTACAGATGAGGAAACTGAGGCAAATGGGGTTAAGCGATTTGCCCAGGGTCACACAGCTAGTACATGTCTAAGGTCAATTTTGAACTCAGGTCCCCCCAACTACAGGCCTGGCACTCTATCTACTGTGCCACCTAGTGCCCATTCCACCTGCCAAAGACTTTCACTAAAAATTCATCATCACTAAACATCCACACATGTCTTTGGCATAAAAAGTGACAAGATTCTCATTACGTGGGATTTCCCAGCTTTTCAGATCTATTTTGTTTTCCTATGATAATCATAATTATAATAATGCCAAAAATAATAACTACCAATATTTATATAGTGCCTTAAGCCTTAGAAAGTGCTTTACATTTGTCAAATTATTTAATCCTCACAACAATTTTGTGTGTTAAATGCTGTCATACCCTTATTTTACAGATGGGGAATCTAAGGTTGAGAGTTTAAGTCCCTTGAGCAGTCACACAACTAGAAAGCATCCAAGACCAGATTAAAACCCAAGTCTTCCACACTCCAAGGTCAGCTCTCTATCTACTTTGCCACCTATCTCAATCAGGAAGGCCTTTAGAGACCATCTAGTCTAACCCATCCTGAAAAGGAATCCTTTCTATAGATACCCAGTAAGTGCAGCAGATTCAAGGCAGAATCAACAAATGGAAAACCCTCCTAACAATTACCAAAAACTCTCAGAAAGTGTAATGGGTTGTTTGGGAGGTAGTGGGTTCCCTATCTCTTTGCTTGAAGATGCCCAGCAATAGGGAACCTATGTTATGACGTGTATCTGTTGCTTCTAGTTTTTCTGTTTGGGGTGAAGAACGAGTCTTGTACAGTACAAGTATAGGAACAAGTACAGTAAGTGACAAGGCAGAGACTCTCAGGAATGGGATTTCAGTCCTAGTTGCTCCTTTCCCTTGCTATGTGACCTTGGGAAACTCACTGTATCTCTCTCATCACTGGTTTCCTTACCTGGAAAAAAAGAGATGATATCTCCTTCTCAAATTTGTTGCAAGAACTATTTGAAAAGAACAGGTATACAAGTTCTTTGGAAAGATTTAAAAAGCTATGGCGATGCAAGGAATTATTACTACTACAGTTATTAATCTTTGTGCACAGGTATTAGTTAATTTCCTTGTTATTTGCTATATTTTTTTTGATCAGTTGAAAGAACTGGAGATGTTTAGTTGGGAAAAAGAGTAATAGGGGGAATATATCTTTCTTCAAGTATTAAAGGGCTGTGTGGCAGAAGACCAATTAGACTTCTTGTTCTTAGCTCTCCACCTCTGGGGGATGGGAAAGCAGAACCAAGACAATGGATAAAAGTTGCAGAGAGAGAGAGAGAGAGAGCTAGATTTCAACTCAATATAAGGGAAAACAATTCTTAATAATCGAAACTATTCAGAAATAGAATAGCTATCTCAAGAGGTGGTGAGTTCACCATCAGTGGAGGTCTTCAAGCAGAGGTTAGATAACCAACTGTTAGGACACTGTAGAAAGGATGCATTTTCAAGTAGATGACCTCTGAGATCTCTTCCAACTCAGAAATTCTATAACTGTTCTTTGCTCTAGCTCCTTACCTGCTAAATATAGGAAGAGAATAATAAAAAGTGAACAGCTTGTTAACAATGGAAGGCTCTGGAAGGAAAACATGGTACTATTCTTGTCATTCAAGTCAAGAAAATGAACATTATGGATGAACTCCCATTACAAACAAATGCGAGGGGCAGCTAGGTGGTGCAGTGGACAGAGCACCAGCCCTGGAGTCAGGAGGACCAGAGTTCAAATCTGGACTTAGACACTTGACACTTACTAGCTGTGGACCTTGGGGAAGTCACTTAACACCATTGCCTAGCCAAAAAAACCAAAAAACAAAAAACAAAAAAAAAGTTTCATTTACTAAGGAAGTATAATGTTTGCACAACTGTGTACATTGTGACCCCTCTTATCCCAGTACACATAAATGTTTCCCAAACAATGTACACAGAAAACATCCTACTATTGTATTTAAGAAAAATAAACATCTGAAATCTTGGTCAGCTGGAAAAGACTAATAATGCTACAATCCCAATGCCTGCCCAGGAGAGGGAAATGTTAAAAATCTGAACCCAATTCTAAAGTTATAAGGTCAGAAACTTTAAATAAATAAGATCAGAATCCAAGAAATGCTTCCTTACCTGGAGGTGAATACACTGACTGTTGACCTCTCAACTGCGAGAAGATGGCTCAACCTACAGGCCACAAACCTGATCAGGTGCCAGAGGAAAAAAACAGGAAGTATGGAACTTCATGCACTATTAGCATATCAGAGCACATACACAAAAGACAGAAATGTAGTCTTGTTGAGCCGTGGTTACAAGGCAAGGTTCTTATAGGCCAGCCTAAGGCATAGTATGAAAAAATCCAATCAGAACTACCTGGAATCAAGTTTCAACTGTTAGAAACCCTTCCCAGATGCCTACCCAAACATGACTTTACCAAGCCTATTACATTGATGCCTATGGGGAAAAACAAAACAAAACAAAAAAACTAGGCCACACATGGAACTCCCAAATAGACTTTAAATAAAAACATAGAATTTCTTCAAAAGTAATTAGGGAAAGCTGACTATACCACTGTTGACTGCCATTCTCTTCCCAAAGACCACTATGGCATAGGAAAAAGTGGAAGACTTAAGGAAGAAAAGGAAATGTGGAGGTCTCCACACCACTTAATGTATCTCCTCCCCCAACCCTGCACCAAATTCTTTCAGAAATGCTAAGACTAAACAAGCAGGAATAACTAGCCTGGTATACTTGGAATGACTTGGGTAGGCTCTGCTAGCTACCAACCAAGTGACTGTGAACAGCTAAGTCACTTGAAATCTCTGAGCCCCAGTTTCCTCTTATCTAAAATAACACTGGCATTAGCTACACCTGACAGAGCTGTGAAGAAGGTGCTTAGTAAACTGCCATTGTTCAGTTGTTCAGTTGTGTCCAACTCTTCCTGACCCCATTTGAGGTTTTCTTGGCAAAGATACTGGAGTGGTTTGCCATTTCCTTTTCCAGCTCATTTTACAGATGAGGAACTGAGTCAAACAGGGTGAAGTGACTTGCCTGGGGTCACACAGCTAGTAAGTGTCTGAGGCCAGATTTGAAGTCAGGAAGATGAGTCTTCCCTGACTTCAGGCTCAGCACTTCACCTGCTGCGCCACCTAGCTGCCCCTAGTAAATGGTAAGGTACCATGTTAAGGATGAATGGTTATTATTGTTATAGGAGAAAATTCCATACCATGGCTTCAATCCTGATTGATATGGGTGCTCCCACAGATTGTCTTATAAATACATATTCCAAAGCACCCAATGGCTATGCCACAATTTTACTTAAATGACAAATAACTGATTGTATGTACAACAACTTGCAAAAAAAATTTTTTATAATGCTCACAATTGATTTTTCACTATCCTGACAGTCCTGACACTACTGAAAATTACCCAGTCATTTCAGTTGTGTCCAACTCTTTGTGACCCCATTTGTAGTTTTCTTGGCAAAGATACTGAAGTGGTTTGCCATTTCCTTCTCCAGCTCATTTTACAGATAAGGAAACTGAGGCAAATGGGGTTAAGTAACTTGCTCAAGGAAACACAGCTTGTAAGTATCTGAGGTTGGATTTGAACTCAGATCTTCCTGACTCCAGGCCAGGCACTGTATTCACTGCACCACCTAACTGCCCACTACTGAAAACACAGACTGGTACATATGGAAATAAAGCAGACAATTTTAGGTAACGTAATGAGAAGAATGAAAGCTGCAAGGCCTCATTCCTGAGATTTGAAGACCTCTGAAATTCACTCCAATTGAAGACCTTTTAAAAGTGCTTCCATATAGCAACTAAACTTTTTAATTCATATTTCATAAATATTTTTATTAATAAATATACTGTAATTCCAGGAAAGGAACCACAACCTCCTGAGAATGGACAGACCCGAAAAGTTACACACCTGGCATTTTTATGCGGGAGATTCTTTTAAGACACGATGTGAAAATTATACAGTATTTTAATAGAACAGATTATGGTTCAGATATACAATAACATACAGTTTTTAACGTATGAATGAAGATCAAAAGAGAATTAAGTCTACACTGAACATATGTGGAAAAAGATATTTAATTGTAAAATAGAAAAGTAGACCAGAGTACAGTTTTAAGGGTAATTTCTTTCTTATACAGTATAGATTATCTAGAGGATTTTTAGGTTTAGATAAACATTTTCCTAAAGCAGTGAAACAGAAAAGCAAAGCAAGAAAAAAAGGCCTGAACTTAAGTTTTACCGGAAAAAAAAACCAAAAGTGAACAATAAAGTCGAAATTTAATCATTTGCCTATCACAGAATTTAACAATTTTAGATAGAGCAAGTCACAGCACAGACAATTCTGCTTTTATAGTGAAAAGCAATATTCTAGACAACAGTGGCATCAATGAAGTATGAAAAGTTCTTGTCCTACATCCAAAACAAATGTTTTTCATAAGAACAGCCAAGACAATATTTGGCTTTTCTGGTTTCCTGGGGGGAAATGAGTCCTTGAGAATATTTCAGAAACCCACCTGTGTTGAACTTTCCAAAAACATTATCCTACAATCCAGTGCCTGGAAATGTTTTCATGTGGAAGTCATGATAGAAGGCACTGAGTACAAAGTTTCAAGTCCCCTATGTGAAATTTTAAAAGAGAGTACAGGGTTTGCAAATTTAAGTTACATTGCAAACTGCTACTTCCAAGAACACTGTCTATTCCAATAGAACCAGTTGCTAGCTTACTTAATTTCAATGACCTATAGACTAAAAGTTTTTCTTCCTAATAACTTTCATCATCTTTGCAAAAAGAAAAAAAAAACCTATGCAAGTGATGCACTTTGAAATTATAAAAACATGCAGAATATGTACAAACTGAAAATTTAAAAAATATTTGCTTCATATACAGGTAAATCTACTCAGATATAGCTGAAGTTAAACAAATATAAAAGTTTCACTTTCTAAAAAATGTTTTCAGATAATCTGAGACAACTACTTAAAGCTATACAAAGATTTCCTTAGAGAAATCTACTCTTTAGGTAGAGGCCTAGTTGATATCTATAGAAATAATTCCAGAATCAGTCCACCACATAATTATTATGCAAATATTTGGTCTAATCAACAAGGATCACCCTTAAAACTGTTCTGCTTCTGAGAAATTAAGATTCATACTAAAATCAAAAAGAATTCACAAAAACAGTGGCTTATTATGTTTCTGGATCTCTTCAACCATCGTTTATCAACTCATTTTGGAACTGTAAAAAAAAAACAACAACAAACCAACTATTTACAGAATTCAGTTTTAAATACTTTTCACACAACTCCTAAATTCATAGTTTATGTTACAAGAAAATTCAGAGCTCATGGCTTAAGTCCAATTATCAATCTGTAAGTCTCTTTTCTCTATGCTGGATTCCCATGACTGTACTTAGATGGGGTACACAGTTCAAGACTGTACGCTTTTTCTTGACTCAAGGTAAAATCAAACTATATTGTCCATTTCAATTACACTGCTTCTTTGTTAGTCTGGAGACGGGTCATGGCCTCTAATTTCTGCCTATAGGCTTCTGCTTCCTGTTCTTTCTTTAGAAGTTGCTGCCGATATTTTTGTGCTTCTCGATTTGCTTCATCCAGCTGTTTCTGAAGTGCTTCTCTCTCCTAAAAAATAAAAAGTTTCATCAATCTTCATGCAAATGTTTAACATGTAAATGCAAAAGATCCAAAGCACCAGAAATAAATAAATCTAAACTAGGTTACTTCATCATTAGTGAATACAGTACCAAGTACACCTTCACAACAGAAGGGCCTAATAAGAATTGGGGGTTGGTTGAACTAGACTGCTCTGATTCATAAGCAAATGCAAATACAGGAATATTTCTCTTTTCTATCTCAATCAACAAATATTTACTGAGCACTTACTGTGAGTTGAGTATTGTTCTAGGCCTTGTGGAAGATACAGAAATAATACTAGACATAGTCCCTGCGCACAAAGGGCTTACAATTTAGTTAGGGAGACAAGACCAACATAGCTGAAACAACAGGGCAGGGCGGTATACACAATGCTAACTGGTGTGGCATAGACTCCTGGTGCTTCAGAAGTTCAGGAGTCAGTGAAGGCTTTATGGAGGGGGATGATTAGCACTAGGCCTCCTACATAGAATGGGCAGGATTTGGATAGGTATTGGAGACAGAGAAGGGCATTCACAGTAGTAAAGAAAAAAGAAATAATTAACAATTGTCATTTATGTCACTCTTTAAGGTTTGCAAAACACTTTATAAATATATTATCTCAGTTGTTCCATCTAATGACTCTGTGATTTTTAAAAATGTTATTCCTTTGTGATTCAGGCATGCATAAAAACACACAGCTCCACCAATTTCTTCAAAGCATAATTTCTCAGTACAAGTTTGTGTCTGGTGTAGTGGGGGGGAAAAGCACCGGATGTGGAATCAAAGGACAGGTATTACTTTGAGTACTTGTTGTTGTATAGCACTTAGCACAATGCTTGGCATATAATAAATGCTTAATAAATGTTTTTTCATTCAATCATAAATGACTGATAGGAAGTTAATCCCCAAAGATCAGTAGATGGTAAGATAGCACCTACGTGCCCTTGATAAATTTAAGTCTCCTGGTGAAGATGAACTACATCCTTGGGTAACGAAAGAAATGACAGGTGTGACTGCTAAGCCAATGGCAATGCTATTTGGAAGATCATGGAAAATGGGAGAGGTACTACTATTACTGGAGATCATGCCAATTTTCACAAAAGGGAAAAGAAACAGAGTCTTCAAACTTTAAGTCAGTAAACATGCCTTTTATTTAGAGGAAAACTCTAGTATAGATCATCAAGGAAATAGCTAGTGAATGTCTAAATAAGGAACTAGTAATTACAAAGAGGTTCAAGTAATTACACAGGTTCAAGACCGATTCATTTCCTTTTCTGACAAGGTCATTAAACTTGGAGATGAGGGGGACACTATAAATATAATTTACTTACACACTAATAAAATATTTGAATACATTAAGTCATACTAGTCTTGTGGAAAAGATGGAGAGATGTAGAATATGACATACCAAATAAGATGGATTCAGAGCTGACTGAATGCTTGTATTGAAAGAATAGTGGTTAATGGTTCAAAGTCAATTTGGCAGGAAGTGCCAGTGAAGTGCCCCAGGGATTTGTTTCTGCTCCTGTGCTATCTGACATATCGATGCCTTGGATGTAGGCATAGATGGCACGCTCCTCAAGTTTTAAGGAGGTACAAAGCTAGGAAGGATAAGATAACACACTGGATGATAGGGTCAGCATCCAAAAAGATCCTGACACTAGGACATTGGGCTGAATCAAGTATCATGAAATTTAATAGGGATAAACATAAAGTCTACAGTTTGCATTCAAAATAACTGACTTCAAAAGTACAAGATAGAGGAGGCATGCTTAGAAGTCAAGTTGAAAGATCCGGGGATTTCAGTAGGCTGCAAATTCAATGTGGGTCAACAGTGTGATGCAGCAGCCAAAAAAGCTAATGACACCCTGGGCTTCATTAAGAGTCATAGCTTCTGGAAACAAGGAAGTGACTGTGCCTGTTGAACTCTGGCCTACTCAGACCCTATCTGCAGGACTGTGGTCAGTTCTGAGCACCACAATTTTAAAAGGTCACTGATAAACCGAAGAGCATCCAGAAAATGACAACCAGGATGGTGAAGGTCCTTTAGTCCATGTCATAGAAGTATCGATTGAAGGAGCCAGGGTTGTTTAGCCTAAAGAAGTCTCATGTGGGACGTAAAAGTATTAAGTATTAAGGTCTGTGATACAGAAAAGGAGTAGATGTGTTATTTGGCCCCAGAGGGCAGAATCAGGAACTATGAGTGGAAGATGGCAGAGACAAATTTAGGTTTAGTATCAGGAAAAGTGTCCTAACAATTAGAACTGGCCAAAATTGAAATGGGATGCCTAGACAAGTGATGGGTTACCCCTCACTCATTAGAGATCTTCAGACAGAGAATGGATAATCATTTGGCAGGTCTGTTATAGAGAAGGTTCTTTTTGGGTATGGATTCAACTAAGTGGTCAGTAAGGACCCTTCCAATTCTTCAATTCTATGAATAATTGTGTGTGGATGCCTTTATAGTGTGTGTAAGAGTGTGTGTGTAAAAAGAATTGATACTAACTAAATGCAAAAATAATTGCAAACTAGAATCTCAAAACTTATTCCATGGTACTCATAACACTTTGATTTAATGTTGTCGTTCATTATAATTTTCCTCAATACATATCAATTAAAAATGAACTTGTTTATGAATACCTAAAAGGTCTCAATGGATATTCATTCATAAACCTCGAGTTATTTCATATCATCTCTAAGTAATACTTATGGTAAAGACATTAACCTCAAAATGGAGGAATTTGAAACATGGAGAGAGTAAATAATTTCCCAAAGCCATTAAGTCAGTAACAAAGAAAATCCTTCATTACCGATGTTCTATTCAATGTTTTATACAGACTAAGCTAACAATGCCTCCTCTCTGCATTCAAAGGAAATTTTTAAAAAATTCAGATCAGATTGATAATAGTCATTTAGAGAGAAAATTTATAAAATGTTATACTTAATCCTAAAATACCTCCAGGAACGGCAGCTTGCTGAAGTGAATGGAATTGTGTTAAATAAGAAATTCCGTTAGAAAAAAAGTAGTTGTTGTTTTTTTATTAGAGATAAAGATAAAGGTAGATCATATAAACTGGTAATCTGTTATAACCACATACTTATGAAAACAGCTCATTTGGCTCACTTTATACAAAGATAATTGATACGCACTAGTTACAAAAGTAAAAGTACTCTGATACCACATAATAAAAGGAAAGAAAATAATTATTTTAATAATCAGGACCCTTGCCTAACAATTTCTATTTTGAAGAAATAAAATAATGCCTTACTTGTGGCAGTTCATTGACCTTCTCTAGGCCTCAGTTTCCTCATCTGCAAAATGAGAAGGTTAGACCAGATGACCTCTAAGGTCTCTTCCTGCTCTAAGTCCAATATGCTATGAGACGAATTCTATTAAATAAACTTCCATTTCAAAAGTAACTAATTCAATTCAGTTAAACAATTGGGTTAATTAAATGACTAGTGAAGAATCAGTTGTTTAAATAATCTATTTGACAAAAGTCAAGCTACTTTGGCTGTTCTCTCCAGAATCTCTCCAAAACAATGTGATGACCCAGCATGGGATTGTTAAAAGAAGCCAGGAAAACAGCCTCTTTGTGATAGGGAGAGACGTCTCTTGTTCACACCTGTAATGATGAATATATTTGAGATTATTAGGGAATTAATGAAGGGATGAAGTACAGAACCAAAGACCACATCAAAGATTCTGCGCTAATCAACTATGGTAGACAAATTCTGTTGTAAAAAGCAAAGGCTAAAGTACAGTAGAGACAGAATGACAACCTATCAAACTTCACTCCACAGCAACAGAAAACATTCAATGATAAGTACAAAAAGTAAGAAAAAAAGACTGAGTTTACTTGTGACCACCTTAGTAAAACACACCGGGTAAAAGACTCCTTACTTCTATTTCTGCAGATTCCACCCGATTTTCTATAATTTCAATACATTGTCTCTTGACTGGTGGTTCTTCACTTATAACAGTTTCTTCAGCTATATCTGTTGCTGGTACTGTTAATACTGAAATGAAAGTAGTACATGTTTGTTACTTTAGGACATATTTATCACAATATTAGTAAAAATAAAATTATCCTTAAAATTACTGATACAAGTAACTTCAAAATATTTATTCATATATTCCAGACTATACAGAAACATACCTCAAAATGCTAAATCCCTGACTTCAGTCTCTTACTTCCTAAACTTTCTTGTTCTAACTTACTACAACATATTTACTAAAAATACAAGCTCTTTTGCTGGAAGAGGAAGGAAAAAAACTGGCCCCTGAGTCAGGAAGATGTGGGTCCAAGTCCCACCTCTGTCAGTCAGTCAATATATGTTTATTAAGCACCTACTGTGTGCCAGACACTACAAAGTGCTAGGGACACAAAGAAAGAGAGAGTCCCTACTCTCATCAGACTAGATTTGTGACCCAGGGCAAGTCACTTAACCTCAATGCCTCCAACAACTCTTAAAGACTGTAAGTTACAGAAAAGAAGCCAGTTTGTATTGGCAGAGGAAGATCCTCACCAAGCGAAATCACAGGTCTGGCCTTTAATAAATAAATAAATCTTCTAATCTAGAACCAGATCACTCTCCTGGAGACACACTGCTTAAAATCTTCTAAGAAATTCATATCCAGCTACAAGCAACTCTCAGTTAACCGGCCTGTAGCCAGTACTCAACCACAAAACGGGCTTCTCTGCCACACAGCAGAGTTCTGGGTTGACTTTCTCCACTGTCAACACATATTCATTGAAAGCAAGGAAACTTCAACATTACCATATAGAAGATGTGATTAGGCAGTTAAAGCAGCAGATAGAGTTCTGGACTTAAGATTCAGACCTAACTTCCAATCTGGCCTCAGATACTTTTTACTAGTTGGATGATCCTGGGCAAGTCATTTAACCTCTGTTTGCCTTAGTTTCCTCATCTGTAAAATGACGATAATAATAGTGTCTACTTCCTAGGGCTGTTGTGAGGATTAAATACGATAATATTTGTAAAGCACTCTGAAAACCTTAAAGAGCTATGTATAAATGTTGGCAATCATTATTATTAAATCCAACGTAAAAAAAAAAGGAATACAATGCAAGACAAAGCTCAGACACACGATTTTTGGAGATACACCACAATTTCCCTCTTAATTAATGAAGATAATAGAGAACTAACTTACCTTGCTGTCCATCTGGCATAGTTACAATGATGGGCTGACCTATTCCACTGGTTGGAATGGAGTGCAAATTACCAAGCTGAATTCCATCTGTAACTATGGTAATGACTTGCTGACCCCCAGAGCTAACAACTTGCTGAATTGCACCATCTACTGATTCTGCTGTCACCACCTCCTCAGTAGCCACTACTGGAGAAAGAATTCAAAAGTATGTCAGTAAACATTTAAACATAAACAACTTAGATAAAAAAATGAGCTTTTTTCAAATTCAGTGCTATAACTTCTCCCTTTGTTTAGATTTACATGATGCACTTTATTGACAAAAATTTGTTCCCAAAGGCAAAATATACAAATCAATACTATTTTAAGTGCTAATAATAGCTGAGATCAGATTATGCTTTTGAGAAAACACAGTCACTTCAATTTAAAGAATAAAAAAGTTAAAAAGCTTCCCTCAAACCTCTCTGACAAAGCCTCCATACTTCTCGCCACAGGGGCCTTCTTTATCACTAGCACTAAACTATATTCCCATTCACTCACAATAGGACCCCATCAGATAAAGGCTATACCTCCCACCTCTGGGTCTGGGAGAGAACCTAATACAAGATTCAACTAAAGTGTACAAAAATCCAATGACAGACCGTATGTTTCTCATTCGGGAAACAGCCTGGCTAATACAGAGGCTTATTACAACGCTGTCATAAAGTCACAAAGGAGTTATGAACTTCATCGGTGGAAGGAATATTTAAACCAGTGGAATAATGGATTCTTAAAGTACTGAAGCCAATCAAAAAGCTAAGTCACAGACACAGAAAAAGGGATTGAATCTGTGATTTCAAGGAAATGTCCTTTTCTGATTGAGATGGACACCTTCTCTGTAACTTTTAGTCTATAAGAATGGCCTGACACACTGAGAGGTTGTATCTTGTCCAGGGTCAAACAGCCAGCATGTGTCAGATGCAAGACTGGAAACCAGGTCTTCCTGGCTTTGAGGCCAATTCTCTATCCACCACGCCATACTGCTCTCTTATATATGGAGTATACACTCATAGGAAATGAGTAATCCTACTGATAATATCATTTCAAGAACAAACTACAGTGCCACAGACAGGAATTTTATTTTAGATATATGAAAAACAGTAGAAATATAGCAACTATATTATCAACAAGACAGAATTACCAAAAACAAAAACTCAGAACCTCATGATCAATTTGGCAATTTACTTCCAAAAGAAAGCTATATCTTTAAAAACAAACAACAACAAAACCATTGTTACCAGCTTGGCTTAAAAGAATCAGCATATAAAACTATTTCCAAATGGATTTTCTTTTTAAGTATCATGAGGCAAGATTTTATAAGAGACAAAATGTTATGATAAACTGCAATACACAGTTGCTCTGCAAAATAAACTCCAAGTTGCTATTGTTTATAGCAAAATATCTTGGTTAATAATGGCTGAAGAATTTATTTCATAGGAAGGTACCTCATATGCACTTCAAGAAAAGGAAAAAACAAGGTACATTTCAACCTTGGTGTTCAAAGGCGTATCTACTACTATAGTTTTTGACAACTGTCTCAAGATTTAACTCACAAAAGATAAAACTCAAAATATTGGGAGCCTTTATATTTTGAGGTCTCTAATTATTTTGTTTGCCCTTTAAACTATAATTAAGCTGTATCACGAAGCACTTAAAAAATTTTAAGAAAAAATTCTTTTAAAAATAGAGTAATGAAATACAGGGCATGAGTAGCCAGTTATAAAGCTACTGAGGTTTTCAAATGCATTTATTCAAGCTTTGATGTCTTTTACATGTATATGAAAAAGGAATTTCCACTTTAGCTGGTTACAGGGATAAATATTTTAGAACAAAATCTTATATTAGAAATTTCTGAGATCAGAAAACACACATAGAACAATTCATAAGCTTTCATCTTTGCAATTAGTTATACCACTATTTTCAATAATTGTCATTAAAATGGATACAATTCTTGCCTTTCATCTAAAGATCTTTGTTCTTTTGCAAATTTCACTAAAAGGGATCAGGAAAAAAAAGTTACAGAATGTTTGTGTAACAAAAGTTACAGAATGTTTGTGTAACAAATCTAAGTACTGACTAGAAGAATAACAAAAAGTATTTTTTAGTTGAAAAATAGCTTTGTATAAATAAATTAGAATCGAAAATTGAGGGGATGCCTATCAATAGGAAATAGTTGAAGAAGTTTGCAGCATATGACTGTGATGGAAAACTATTGTGCTATAAGAAATGATAAGCATGATGCTTTCCAAAAAACCCAAAAAGACTTAAATGAATTGATACAAAGTGAAGTGAGCAGAACCAGGATAACATTATACACAGTAACAGCAATATTGTATGATGATCAATTGTGAATGACTTAGCTATTTTAAGCAATACAATGATCCAAGACAATTCCAAAGGACTTATTTATTTTTTTTTTGGAGGGGGAGGGTGTGGCTAGGCAATTGGGTTAACTGAAGCGTCTGAGGCTGGATTTGAACTCTGGTCGTCCTTAGTCCAGGGCTGGTGCTCTATCCACTGCACCACCCAGCTGCCCCACAAAGGCCTTATGAAGAAAAATGCTACCCACTTCCAGGAAAAGAAGTGATATAATCTGAATAGAGATCGAAGCATACTTTTTAAAAAAACTTTCTTTATTTTCCTTGTTGTTTTTTTTTTAATCTGTTTTCTTTTGCAACGCAGCTATTATGGAAATATGCTTTGCACGACTATATTGTATAATTGATATCAAACTGCTTGCCTTCTCAGTGCAGGAGGGAGAGAGGGAACTCAAAACTCAAAATTTTAAAAAACAAATGTTAAAATATTTTACATGTAATTAATAAATAAAATAAGAGAGAAAAATAAACAGATTAGAGAGCCCTTTTGTGGGTTTGTTTTTTTCAAAGTAAAGTCACAGAATGAAAAAAGCCTAAGAACACAAATACTCATCGGTCTGATTCAGTAACAAAAAGGATAAAGCCAAAGACAGCCCAGAACTGAGCTACAGAAACTAGACATATATAGACAGACTGATTTAGATATATATCTGTGAAGGCTGGTATCCCTCATTAGAATATTAGTTACATGAGTGTAGGGATTGTTTCATTCTTTGTACTATATCTCTAGCACTACTAGGTGATTAATAAATGTTTGTTGATTAATTGGTTATCTATATGACTGATACAGCATTTTAATTAAAAGCCACAAAACTAAAACAATTACCAAGAAAAAAGGAAATTTTGTCTTAAAATACTGCCAACAATGGAAAATATACCACAAAAGTACTTTTCCACAAAAAAAAATGTTTATTAAGCATGCTTATTAAGAAAAAAAAATACATTTGAAAGCATGTTAAGGAATATGTCAAGAAAAAAGTCAAAAATGTCAAGTATTAATTTTCTAATGAGAGTTCTAAGTTAATTCTATAAACATAAAAGGCAGGGGAGAGGGAAAACTATCTGTATTCATTTTTACAATAACTGGTAACGTCAACTCTTAATAATAAAGGAATTGAAACAAGATGGTTTGGCAGTTCAAAAATCATGTATTCTGTCTCTGAAATGCATTTGGGCATTTACATTTTAGTACTGATTGCCTAATAAAATAGGAATTCATAACACTTCAAATTAGATAAAACCACACTGTACAAGTCTGGAGGTAACAGAAGGCTTTCTAGCCTTCTCCACATTGCTCCCATCCGTGTTCAAAACTCTTTCCTACTACTCATTCCAATTAGAAATAAAGAGTATTACCTCTCACACTGTAACAAAACATTAGGCCAAAGCAAAGCATAACAAGTGCCATAAGGCTTCTAGGATGTGAGGATAATAAAAGCATTCATCATTTTAAAATGTCCTCTTTCCAAATTGTGGCAAAGACGCTAGTTCTATCAAACAGATAAAATAAACACAATAAATGACAATATCCATAATTAGTGAAAGCAAGGTTTGCTAGAGATACTTATAATTCAGATGACCCACAAGAGAATTGATTTCATAGTATTAAAAAAGCTTTGCTAAATTTAAAAATTACTTGTCTTCCATTCTTGATTCATTTCAAGTCCAAAAGAAAGAGAATTGCTACTTTCCACTTACCTTCCTGAGCCTTCTGCTCCAACCAAACCAATTTAGTCATTGTCCCTGGTACATACTTGGTCCTTTCATATATTTTGAGAGGAAGTGAATAAAAACATTTTTCCTGCATAAACTACATGCGCACACACACACACACACACACACACACACACACACACACTCTTTCCTGGTTTGCACAAGTAACTGCTGTTGCTGATGAGGTTTTTCCCTCAGTATGACGTTTCATCCCAGACAGAGGTGCCAGCTGCTCACCTCTGACTGTGAGAGGTGACAACTAGTTAATGCTCACTGTTCACTAAGTAGCTTTCGCTTTTCTCTCCTTAACTGTTTCCTTCTCACATCTTCCAACCCCAGATTAAGATATATGGCTCTAGAACTCCCAATGAACACTTAATCCTGTTGTATAATGTTAGAGGAGGGAATCCACCAAAGGCATTTGAACCTGTAACTGGAAAGAAAATCCTATATATGAACTTCACCTTTTTGTGATTTACAAATCACCTTTCTCTTTCACAAATACAATCTTAAAAACTTTGTAATATCTTAGTTCAGGATATTAACACCTCTCAACTATCTAGCCTCCTAATTGCCTTCTTATATCAAATCTCTCTCCTCACTCAAATCTACTATCTAGCTACCAGTGATTGTTCTAGCAGTGTAGGGTCTGATCATGTCACTATTCAATAAACTCTATTGATTCTCTGTTACTTCAAGGACCAAATACAAAATCCTCTGTTTTTCTTTTAAAGCCCTTTATAACCTGGCTCCTTTCTACCCTGCCATCCTTTCTACATTTTACTCCCTTACATGTATGCTTCAAACTAGTGACTCTGAACTTGTTTTTCCCCACACATTACATACACTCCATCTCCTGTCTCTGTGACTTTGCATTAGTTATCCTCCATACCTAGAATGTACTCTTCCTTATTTCTACCTCTTAGGATTCCTAGTTTCCTTCAAGAACCACTTTCTCCACGAAGCTCTTCTTGATCCCTCAATCTGCTACTACCTTATCCTCAAAAAGTATCTTGTATCTGTTTTGCACATACCCATATATGTACATGTTGTCGCCTT